CTGCGGATCCCAAGAGAGGGCCCGCCTACGTTCCGAGAGTCTGAATGGTAGGGCCTGGTCTGATGCTCGTTTGCTCCCCTGACACACTGCTACTGTTTCGACCGTGCTTCTGGGGAGTATGCCTCCGTGCCCACATCTGACCAAGGCCTCTCCCAGCCCGTGACAACCGGTGGCGACTTGCCAGGTTGTGACTTGCACCGCGTCTCCAGACTGACTATCTTCTACCCGGTAAATTTGACGTGGGGAGGCTTCGCCTTTCATTTTTACCCATTCTCCTGTCACGAGTCGGTCTTGCCGCATTAGGTCCACCCATTGCGTGGGAATAGCTTCCCTGAGCTCAGCCAACTGGTAGTTCCTTCTGAATTGGTGGGGAAGGCTGCTAGCCATTTCCTCGTCCGTCCTCCACTCCCGCTCCTGCTCATTCCAAAGGTGACCGATCTTGAAAACCCCTTGCTCTGCCCACTGCCGGCCAAAAGCTCCCAGTTTCCCCTGCCATGGGAAGCTGTCCCCCTGGGTGTCACAGATGAAGCGGTTGTCAAAAAGGAGTTGGTTAAACACAGCGTCCGCAGTGACCGGCTCTCGKTTCAGCAGGTGGATCTTTTTCCACAGGGCCAGYGGTCCAGACCAGWCCGTTCCGCGTGCCACATGCCCGATGAGGYCGCTGCTTGCGAGGGCAACTTCTCCAAGTGCTGCCGGCAGATGTAATGAGTGCGCCAGGTGCTGCGTGGTRAGTGAATGCCACYGCTCCCCGRCCGTTCTCAGCAAGTACCATACTAGGTGCCRCATCTGAAGGGCCATGATCTGCAGCCRTGGGTCCAGCAGGCCCAATCCTCCTTCGGTTCTSGGCTGAGTCAGCTTGTTCCAGGCCACTCTACAGATTGAGGTCTCAGAGTCGGCATCATTAGACCACAGGTAAGCTTGGATGRCTTGCCTCAGGTATGAAAAAGTCCGCCTCYCTGGCATATGAATAGCCCCCGCGTACCACAAGGTGGCCAGGATGGAGTTCTTGATGACCAGGGCCTTGCCAAAGACACCCAGGTGCACTGCCTTGGCCCACGCGTTGAGCTTGGATGTTGCCGCCACTGCCCGCTTGGCCATTTGCTCAACACCCCCCCAGCTGGGGGCAATGCTGGCCCCGAGGAACCTTGTTCGTCCTTCTGCAGGTGAAGGAAGATCCCACCCTTCAGGCGGTTCCATGCCTGGGGGGAGGAGACCATACGATTTTTCCCAGTTAACTCGYGCCCCCGAATATTTACAAAAAATTCCCAAATCTTCCTGYAGGACACGAAGCTGTTGGAYTGTGGGCRGGAYGATAGCTCSTGTGTCRTCTGCAAATGCTGACGAACGGAGTTCGTCACCCGRATTCAGCCGCAGGCCCTGCARTCTCTGATCCCCCCTAATGAGCTCATGGAGCGATTCGATGTAAATTACGTACAGCGCCGGGGAGAGGGGGCATCCCTGTCTCACTGAGCGAGTTACTGTCAGCCTTTCCGACCTTACTCCATTGACTTGCATGACTGTATGAGCTTGATTAAGCATAGTCCTGATCCATCCTCTGAAGATAGAGCCAAAACCTCGCCTGGCCAGTGCTTGCAGTAAGAATTCCCAGCGAACCCTGTCGTAGGCTTTCTGAAGGTCGATTGAGACAAACACCATCGATTGCCCTGACACCTGGCCTTCCTCTAGCACCTGCTGCGCCAGCAAGATGTTCGTCACTATCTGCTGGCCCGGAACGAAGCCCGTCTGCGTGGGGTGGATCAGCTTAGGCAGCACCCCGTTGGCTCGAGTAGCCATAACTTTGGCTAATATCTTGTAGATCGTATTCAAGATTGAAATTGGCCGCCAGTTTTTAACGTCCTCCTTGGACCCCTTCTTATATAACAGAACAACGTAAGCATCCGCGAACCCCACAGGGAGCAACTGAGACCTCAAGGCATCATTAAACGCCTGGGTTAAGAGCAGAGCGAAGAAGGACTTATATTCCTTGAACAATTCAATCGGCATCCCATCAAGGCCTGATGCTTTGAGGCGCGGGAGCTCTCGAATCATTGCTTCCACTTCTTCCGCAGAAATGTCCTGATCCAGCCGGCAGGTGCTATCCAGGTCTAGCCGGGTCTGAACATGCTGCCACACCTCTTCCTGTGGCTGAGTTGCCATAGCGTCTGGGGACCAGAGCTCTTCCTCAGTAAACAGGTCCTTATAGTAATCAGTGACACATTTGAGTATGCCCCGTGTAGTGTCCTGTCTGCCTACAATTGGGTCGAACGGGTGCGTCATTGCAGTCATGGTAGTGGAGGCTTTCTTCTTTTTTAGTTCGCCAAAAAAACGTCTGGCCATCTTCTCTCCCACCACGATCCACGCCTCCTTGCTCCTCTGCCCCCAACAGGCCGCGTCCTCCACCTGCCATTCCTTCCATTGCCGTGCTACTTCCGCACGCTCCGCCCACCACTCGTCTTCGTCGGGGTCTCCAGGCCCTTTGTCCAACGGGAGCAGTCCTTCCACGTATTCTTGTCCGGTTCGTTGATGTGCCATGCGTTGCACTCGCAATTTCGACAACAGTATACTTCGAAGGGTGGCGAGAGCCTCAAGGAGCCGTGGGAGATACTCTTCGTGGGGTGATTGCTCAACCCAGTCTGCCTTGAATTGCTGAATGGCTGGCCGATACTCTGGGCAAGAGAACACCCACGCTGGAACCGACGCTGGCGGTCTTACCGTCTCCATTTTACCTATTGCATATGAGGCCAGCACGGCCGCATGATACAAATCATTGGTATTTTCACTCTTTTTGAATTATATACTAGGCTACCAGTCGAGTCGCGAGGGTCACCTTGTTTTCCGGTGCGCCCGAACCGTGCAAGGACCAAGAACGGTCCGAACACACAAAAAAGGGGAAAAAAAAAACTATGTTATGGAGAAAAAAAAATTGAACCACCTTTGCCTCAGGGTCACGTCATATAATATATTAATTATATAATATATTAAATTATCAATGTTAATATATATTTTTGCCGCTATATGTAGTCTCAACTTCTCAAGTTTCTTTTTATTTTATATATATATATACAGGGTCACCAGCCCGTACGTACGGAGGTCCCCGGGCAGACCTCCGTACGTACGGGCGTTCGGGGTCCCGTATGGGGTCCGAACCCGACGGCGTTCGGCCCCCGCCAAAAAATATTGCGAGGCCTAAAAATTATTTTGTTTTTTTGAATGTTTTTTTGTGAGTTCTCTATGATGTGAGGTACACGCCTGTATATTTTCAAGTCATTTGGCTAAGCCAAGTAAGAATTAAAAACCGCCAAAGATGGCGGTGTCAAAATGTGCTCGGCCACGTATGTTTTCACTTTTTACTTTTTGTTTTCACTTTAGTTCGGGGTCTAAACAATTTTATTATTTTTTGAAACTTTTTTTGTGGGTTTTGTATTATGTGAATTACACATCTGGCAATTTTCAGGGCATTTAGCTATGCCAAAAAAAATGAAAAATCGCCAAAGATGGCGGTGTCGAAAACATGCTCGCGCATTCTCTTTTTATTATTAGTATTTGTTTTTCAAATTTGGTAAGGAATTCGTATATAATGCTTAGGCAAATCTTGTTTAATTTATTTTTCTCCATAATACATCTTTTTTTCATATGTTTTTGATGATTTTTTTTTTTTTTTTTTTTTTTGGGTTCGCGTTCCGCCCGAACGGCCGAACGCATCCCCAAGGGGTCCCATACGTTCGGGCGTTCGGCCCGTCCCGAACGCCGGTTACCCTGTATATATCGTCATATATTTTTTTTAAATATGGTTTTAATGAGTTTTATTTAGTTTCTTAAACCTTCTTTTAATTTTGTTTTTTTCAATTTTGAAATGTTGCATCCTTTTCATTCAGTTTTATAGAGTTTCATTTAACCAATGTAATTCATGCATTTGAATCATTTTCATTTTATTCGCACTTATTATTTTTTTACTTTAGTCATTTTTTTCACATTCATTTGTTTTTTTTCACATTCATTCATTTTTATTTGTATTAACTTAATAAGTTTATTTCCATTTGGATTGCATTTTATGCATTTTTATTTACGATTATTTATTTATTTATTCCTACTTATTTTTTTCTTTATATTCCAATATTTACAGTTGCATTTTTTTAATCCATATTCATTAATTTGCATTTCATTTACGATTATTTATTTATTTATTCTCTAGGCTACCAGCGGGGCCGCCCGGGTCCTGGGTGACCTGCCCGTGCAAGGATCAGGTAAGGTCCCAGCAAAAAAAAAAAAACAAAAAAAAAATCCAAAAATTCTGAAAAAAACCTATGTCATGCAGAAAAATAAACTGAACAACGTTTGCCTCAGGGTCACATCGAAATTCTTCACCAAATTTAAAATTAAAATTAAAATTCTAAAATATTTTATTTATTTATTTATTTTTTAATTATTTTGGCCCGGCCGGGCAAGTGACCCCGGGCCACTCTGGTAGCCTAGTTTATTCGTACTTATTTTTTATTTATATTCCATTATTTATAGTTGCATCTTTTCAATCCATATTAATTAATTTGTATTTGCATCTAGGCTACCAGAGTGGCCTGGGGTCACTTGCTCGGCCGGGCCAAAAATATTGAATTTAATATATATATCATCACAAACAGAACTGCCCGGTAAAACCGTAGGCAGAGAGAGAGAAAAGGACAATATCAGCCTCCTGATGAGTCGGTGAAACTCCGACGAAACAGTTTGTCACAACCCCTCGTTTGTTGTCCTCTTCTCCCTCTCTGCCTACGGTTTACCGGGCAGTTCTATTTGACGATATATATAATGCAAAGCTATAGTAAAGGTGCACGGGGTCTTACCTGTTGTCCTCTTCTCCCTCTCTGCCTACGGTTTACCGGGCAGTTCTATTTGACGATATATATATTATTAAAATTTTATTTTATATTTGAAATTTGGTAAAAAATTTCGATGTCACCCTGAGGCAAAAGTTGTTCAGTTTATTTTTATTCATAACATAGTTTGTTTTTCAGATTTTTTGGATTTTTTTTTTTCCTGAGACCTTCCTTTTTTTTGCACGGGCTGGCCACCCGGGACCCGGGCGGCCCGGCTGGCAACCTAGATTTGCATGCATTTATGTTTATTCTTATTTCATTGATTGTCATCAAACGATTAATCGACATCAGCCTAAGCTTGCTAAGCTACAAGGCTCGCAAGACTGCAACTGGTTTGTCGACTATTTCCAAAATCGAAAAAGTTATTACCGTGTATACCGGTAAGAGCTACACTCTATTTCTTTTGAGTTTTCATTTGTTCATTTGTAATCATATTTTATTCATTCTCATTCATATTTGTGTATTCCCATTCACGTTAATTGATTCACTCCAAGTTATAAATTGCATAATGTGAATAAACTCGTCAAGCTCGGTGATACACAAAATCATGGATCAAGATATCAAACTCGATGGAGAATACATATCGTAACTAATGTCATGCTGTGAATCTACAAAGGCGGTTATTTTAATTTTTACACTGCTATAAAAATAAAATAAGGAAATAAGCAATAACAGTACATGGACACATATTTGCGTCGAGATTAAGTACACTTTAGGTTTCTTTTTTATTTTCATAAGACTCGGATTGCTCTTATTATATTATAGTAGTCTAATAAATCAAGAATTCAAAGGAGGAAGATTCGTAGGGATTGTTAATAAATAGCTCATAAATAAGAGAGAACCTTACAACTTCTGAGAACTCCAAAAAAATCAATATTTAGACATGAGTGAGTATTTGTTTTTTTTTCTCTCTTAATTTTTACACGATATTGATTAATATTTTAATTTTTAAACTTACAATTGCATCTTACATTATGACTTGAGGTATTCTTGCAAGCCATGGGGCTAGGAAAACTTGTGAGCGCCTTGCCTCATGCAAAACTTTACCATCAACCAAGGGTAACATCACTGAAATGCTTGTAGAAAGCATATGATCAACCGAGGAACAAAACGCTCACACCTCTGCACCTAGCTTAGGTATGAAGTTGGGTAGCATGGCGTACGTGTACGCGGGTTGCGCGTACATGCGTACACGTATTCCTGTACGGGACACGTACTCCCGTACGTGGAAATACGTAAAAAAACAAAACAAAACAAAACAACAACATCGAAAAAATCTGAAAAAATAGTATGTTATGCACAATGATAGTTCAAACAACGTTTGCCTGAGACTCATCGCAAAATTCTGTACCAAACTCGAGTTAAAAATCAAAGACACAAAAAACAAATAAATGGAAATAAAAAATAAAAAGATTAGGAAAAAAAAAGAAAAAATAAAAACAAACTTCTGTAACAAATATATGTTATGCAGAAACATGATACAAACAACTTTTTTCAGGGAGTCTTCCCCGAATTCTCAATCAAACTCGAAAAAGAAATAAAAAACTAAAAAAAAAGGTAGTATTATCATAATAATTTAAAAACTATTTAAAATATATATTTTTTATATTATTCTTCTGAAATTTTCTTCAAGGTTTTGAATTTTTAAATCAAGCTTGGTTGGGAGTTCGGGTATGACTCCCAGACAAAAGTTGTTGTTATCATTATTCTGCACAACATACGTTTTTTTTCAGAGTTTTTTATTTTTTTATTTTTTTTATTTTTATTTTTTTTACGTACAAGTACGTGCGATTTCGGGTTCGTACACGTACGCTGGAGTATGTACGCGTACGCACTGCGTACGCGTAAGGGGTGCTACCCAGGTATGAAGAATATTCTTTCTATAAATTTGTACATAAATATATTCACAAGGAGTTGCTTGTAAAGCAATCGCCAATATATTTAGTTTCTTATAAGGAGATTTACCTTCAATCCATGGTTGGAAAGATTCGTATAAAGAACCTCATGGAGCTCATCCTCTGAAAGTCTTGACATCATGTCTTTCAACCGTTTCCATGTCTGCACATCAACCTAACATAACATAAGGATTAGTCGATGGATGTAAGCTAGTTTCAAATTTCAACAAGCAGCTTCCAGTAATAGGCATCTCTAGAATTTTGAGCACAAACAACCTTCATTGTTTATTTTTGTCGGCCTCTTCAAGTGTGGGGATCGACTTTGCCTTAAGTGTATGTATCAACTTTGACCGCTGTTGTTGGACACAGAGTGAAGTAATTGGTGATGTCGCTGTTGTAGATGTTGTAATTGTCGATATTGCTCTTGTTGCCGCTGTTGATGTTATTGATGTTGTTGATGTTGTTGATGATGTTAATGTTGTTGATGTTGCTGATGTTGTTGATGCTGTCCATGTCACACTATCTGGTGGACCGCCCACGTGTTTCCTTGCTAGAAGCCCGACAATCATGTCTTTATCCTGCGTCAGCATCCTAGCGCACTCGTGTAGGGCGGTCGTCACCTGTTGTTGCATACCGTATAGGTGCAGACCAGAACAAGAACCGACCTTTCAATACAAAGTATAAGATAGCACAGCGGAAGGCTTAGATACCAGTGATCCGAACAATCAATGTTG